GTTAATAGTATTTCCTCCAATTTGTTAACTGTTTCTAGTTAACCAATTTGCAGGATGAAATATTAGGGTAAAACAATGAGTAGGTAAAGAAGCAAAAGCTCTCAGATTTTTACAATAAAATATATTCCATTAAGGAGGTCATTCAAGAAGTCAAAATAACAAAGAAATAGGTATCTGTCTCTATCAACTGCCAGAAAGTCTAATGTCTTTCAGTTACATGAAAGATGTATCCACAGATATTTTTTGTGTAGCATAATAACATTTTATTTAACTTGTGACTGAATTATATTGCATTATGTTTTTTTCTTGATCATTTCACATCATTCGATATGTTTATTTACTTTTTAGTACAGCATAATTTATTTTATGTACAAGTTTTAGGATATGGTAGTTATCCCTGAAATACATTTCACTGAAGCAAGTTGTCTCTGCATGACAATGGTATTTAAACTGAAATGTGAGTTTTATTTTTACAAAGAGAATAAAACATTTTTCTGTATGTGCAAAAGAAAATCTGCTTCCCTGAAAGTATATGAAAGAAAGAAATAGATACATATGCTGTTCTTAGTATTCAGAATTTTTCAGCAAAATTTATGTAGCATATAACTGGATTGTACAGCAATTACATCTTCAGTCCTTGGTTTGAGGAGTGAGTTTCATTGTTCCTTCATATTCATCTAGACAACGAAAAAGCGAATGCCTGAAAACAGAAACTACTCTATACCATATCTAATGCTATATTCATTTTTTGGCATTTATATAAACCGCAAACAAAAACAAAACATAAGTGCCACATACATTCAAAAGGGAAACTTATGATTTATTATGAGGCTTAATTCTTCCAAAGGCATTAATGAAATGATTTATTTTGTGAGACTTCAAATGTTGTCTTTATATAAAACACCACAACTGATTGATAGAAAGACATACAAGAAATTGTATCCTTTTATAAACACCTTAACCATTCCCTAGTTATACTACTATCTGACTAGCCTTTTAGAACACAGCCTAAAATTTTCTTCATTCATCTAGCATCTAGAATGTTCCATGAAATGTTATCTTTACCTCAGTCTATTTGCATTTTGAAGTTAATGTAATATCAATTGTCATTCGCAATACCCTCTGGTCTCTTACACGAAAATATAAAATATTTTCATATCACCAGGGTTGTCTTGGACTACAGCACTTTAGTCTTATCCCCTTCAGTAAGCCAACCATTTGTTCTTTGGCAGAGTGTTTAATATCTGTCAGTAGCTGATTTTCTTGCAGTTTTTAAGACTGAACTCGCTTTGGAGTTTTATTTCTGATACACGTGCAATGCTTACATGGGCAAATTGGGCAATCTTCATACTGTTCCCAGTTCTCAAGATTATTTAAATTTAAACACAAATGCATATATTGACACAGTACTGTACCTCTGTCTGTTTCAATTAAAACAGCGCTGTGTCTCAACTGAAACACTCAGACACTGAACACTGCAATTCGAACAACCACTAACAGACTCCCTCATTTATATATTTCCCATGCAACACCCACCTCTTAATTTGATCACCCACTCAGTCTCGCTGAAACGGGGCACGGATATTACATATCTTTTTGGATTTTGGATTTGTCAAGAACTTTTAGTCCAGTTCGATTCTACCTCTCGTTCGGTTTTGAGTAATAAACCTGTCGACTCGCTCGCCACAATTCTTGCTAGTAATTTACATTAACAACATAAGCTCTCTTCAACCTGAACACTTCAGCAAATCATGAACATCATTTGATGTGTCTAGCCATTTACCATTTTAACTGCCAATCATGTGGGTTTCCCTTTTTCGGATGGTTTTCGTATCAAGAGGTTACAGTTTTCTGTAATGAAAGTTTTGTGTTTTTAGTAAATTGTACACTAACCGTTACTACTCTTTGGTCTTGATGATGCAGTGGTAACTTTTACAGTCTCTGGACTGATCATCCTAGGTAGCACTGGCTGATTAAAATGGGCTCAAAACCATACAGCTGGTGATTGGTCGTTCATCGCAAATCTTTAAGCTGTTTCTTGCATAGATTTTCAGTATCAGAACACGAATCCTGTGCTATGCCATTTCTTGCATGACACATTGTCAGATAACATAATTGAGGGGACTTTTGTTACACGGATCTACTGTGCTTGTGATATAGACTCGCTACTATATGCTGCTCATAGGAGTGTCCTGCATCTCATCAATGAAGATGTTCTTTTGGTACATGCCTGTTGTTGGTGTAGTATAGGTAAGATGAACCCTCCGGTACGCAGTTTTGCCAGATTATCCTTCCAGTCAATGACGTACAAAACGCTCGTGTCGGTGTACTCTCCAACATCGTCTATCTTGAACCATCCTTAGCCGTTCTCGACGAATGCCTTCTCTGTTTTAGCAAGCAAGCAGAAGTAACCCCTAAAGACAGTGACGTCAGCTAAGAGGATATCCCAAAGGGGATACGACTAGCCTTCCTCCCTGTCACTAAGGGTCACAAAGATGTC